CGATTATGCCAAAGTAACTTTCGCCTCGTGATATTCAAAGTCCGAGGACATGAAGTCAAGCTTGATGAAGCATCGCAATATGTAGTTTTTGCACCTGTATTTACATAGTCTGCAGATGCGTTTATTGCTTCTTTTGTGGCTTCCATTTTGCTGACACACTTTTCTTTCAAAATTAATTTTATACTGAACTCACCAAGGGGATCTCATTAACATTTACTGGGAAAGGTTTCGTACGTAAATAAGTCTAACGTTTGTGAACAAAACCGTGAAAAGAGAGATCGATTACAAAATGTTGAGCGTTTATTAATTGGTCATAACATTTTTTTCACTGCCTATTGCAGGGAAATTTCTTCCGCGGTAGAATGTCGTTGTGGATACATCGTTATAATTTGTTTAGTTTCTAAACAAACTAGGCTGTTACTTTGCTGGGTTCTCGGTGGCCCTGGAGCTGAAACTCTAAATAGGGCTCCTATCTGTAATAAACGTGAAATTAAGCGTTTTAAATTTAATTTATAAGGTGGCTGGTCTAATGGATAAAATAAGTATGGGATACAATTTATTTTGCTCTTTACCGATATTCGTCCACGGGGGGTTCTTCGGGGGGCCGGTGATGTGCACCGTTTGCAGTAGCCCAGCGAGGCTTCTGATCCTAAGGATGGACGACGTATACGAATGTAGAAGAGCGAATTTATTATAATAAGCTTTGTTGCCGTATATCACAAAACAATTAATTTTAAGTTCATTTAATATTTTTTGAATCTTGATTATACCTATCAATCACCATTTTCATATTCAGCTGTAGACCCCCAATCTACCCCTTGATCATCATTGACCCCTTGTACATTTCATTCACCCGGGCGGGTCGATATCGACCCCGTTGGGAGCTCCTGCTCTAGCGTCCGAAATTCGGAGTAGATTTTGAAAAGTTTGTGTAAAATGTTTTTGTGAATTATGTGAGGACTGGGTCAATGGCTATGACTTTGTGAAGATTCGTATTATTTACATACCAAGGGGCGTTTACAGTTATTCTTGTTATGGAAGACTTACATTTTGTTGTTACGTGTTGGGGCGGCGGTACATCATACTGGGCAAGCATAAGTGAATAGCGGGCAACGAGCTGGCCAATCCAGTGTCTCTGATAGCTGAAATAACCGAAACGGTGAGGATAGGTTGGGAAGGAGCTCCAATTAGATGTGTTTCTTTTTTCTTCCTTATAGCAAAGAAATACTATTCGTTTCGTTCGTATTGATTCCTTGTGATTTTGAGATGTATTCCTTGTGTAAATGGAATTGACTCTGTAGCTGATGCATGAATTGTTTTTGAGGAGCTATTCCAAATTTTTAATTTTTTCGTCGATGCATTACAGCAGCTCTGAAATTTTGTGTACATGTTGGTGTACATTTTGGTGGCATAGCTGTTTTGCGATTCGTTCTGGTAGACTTCGAGGAATCTGTGCACTCGCGCAGCGTCAAATAGGCTGTGGTTGGCTTCTCAGAAAACATCGACTTCGCAGCTTTTAGACAGGCAGCCTCGGCACGAAAGATCACATTCACATTTCGTGCACAGAAGTAAACCAGTGTAAAAAATGACTAATGCAGCCTAAACAAATTTCTAGGCGATTACAATACCTAACTCGATTTAGGTTAACCGATGCTTTCTGATCAGCGGTGGTATGTGAAGACGACTCTTATGCGCAGTTTCTCGCTTCTCGTGTGTGTCTCGAACGCTTTAACGGCTGTCAAGTGCACATATATTTCTTGAACTCTCTGTGAAGTCACGGAAGTTAAGCAACAAAGAGACACTTCAGTGTCCTGGACGGGTGACCGTCTGGGAACTCCTGTTACAAAGAGCGCCAAGTCCCTGGCCCAAGGAATAAAAATGACACTGGCTGACTGCGATGTGACGACACAAAAGCCTACCCTCTCAAAAACCCAACGAAAAACAAAGTAGAATTACTCCCGATACACTCAATGGCCAAGAAGGTCGACAAGACGTGTTTGCGGAGAAGACGCAACAAATTTTTAGAATTTTCTTTTAAAAAAAGTCCTCTACTCGGATCCGACGTGTGGTTTCGAGCCCCACGAATGGGAGTTACTACCATGGGGATGGTGACGGGATTGGCATCTACCACCATCAGATGTAAATACTCATCGCATCCTCTATAATTAGCCCATCATGTAACACTCGTGATCACCCCTACCATCCTTCCCGATGAAGACGATGGTAAATCGCCACTGTGGTAATCGGCGCAGGAAAGGGGAGCTGACAAAGGCTTAATCTTTCTTTCTTGTGAACAGTCGGCAGCCGAGAATGACACTCATTCTAAACAAGCGTATCGCACAGTCAAGGTTTGAAGGTTTAAACATTAGAAGGTGGCGCAACCATACCTTAACTGATGGCGGCGTCAGGCCGTATTTTCCCATCTATTAGTAGAGTATTTTCGTGTTGAAAAGGTACATGAATCGTATTTGTGTATACTTAAGAATATTAAGTTTTTAAAATCGGACGGTGACACTTGGCCGTATTTTCAGGGCAGCTTTTGGACGTACTATGGCTTTGATTCTTACTCGGAAGTGCCGTATCTCGATCGTAAACATATTTTCCGCCTGAAAATAAAAGCACAATGAACCCCGACAAATCGTGCGCTCGCTTGTTCACCTTCAATTCCGCAAGGATTGGCCAGGGACCGAGCCCGGCCTCAGCTGTGGAAGGCGAATGCGCTTGCCAGTACGCCACAAGCAGCCCCGTACTGTAGACGTTGATCCTTCTGTTGGCGGCGCGGGTCGTGGCGAGGTGAACGGTCTTGAAGCAGGCGGAGTAGATAACGCGGGCTCCCTTGATGCGGCTGGCGCTGGCGCTGGCGCGGCGCGGCGCGGCGCGGGGCCGGGCCGGGCGGCGTGGGGCGCGGCGGCATGCATGCTGAACGCGGTACGCGGAAGCTTGTGTTTACCGCCTTATCTTTTCCTCTCGGTGCGCGGAGGTACGTGCGAGGTGCAGCGGCGCGGAGACAGACCCCCCCACCCCCCACCCCATCAACAATACGCGACGTCGTCGGACGCTACCCAGTGTTCGCCTCTCGACGGGTGTCAAAGGGTGCGATTGACGGCGGGTTGTTTGCGGCGCGTGGCTGTCACGGAAACGCCAATCGTCTTTGTTGCTGGCCGATGCCGACTCGTCTTTGACGTCGTGTGTACTCCCGGGACATGTTCGGCGGTGCTGCTGGCGGGGCTTCCGGCGACGGGCGAGTGACAGGCTGCTCGAGATGTGGCAACAACGGGACACTCAGTGCTGCACTCGTAAGTGATATTTTTGAATTGGTGCATTGAACCTCCGATGGAAAACTGTCACAGCGGCGTAATTTTTTATTGTGTTGTTGTGGCGTCATTTGACTAAAAGTTATAATATTTTTCAAAATAAGTTTCAAGTGAGTTTCAAATAACTGATGCCTAGGACTGGTGGTACGTTTTCAATATGAGTTTGTTTGAGACGAAAGACAATTCATCAGATAGAGTGGTATCCTATCGGTGGGATTCAGTGGTAAACTATTGTAGGTGAAGCAATATAATTTCATAAGTGAACATTTTGATCGAGGCTGGACAAGTAGAAAACCGACTCAAGTCATACATATTATCTCATTATAAGACTGTCAAAGTTAGAAGGTGCCATCAGTGGTAATAATGGCAAATTGTTGTACTTTAACAGGGAACGTGCAAAACAAAAATAAATTGTTGATTGTTCTAGTGAAATCGAGAGCGAAGATAGCATGTGAATAGCTCATATGGAAAACAAATCACATTCGTAGGAATACAATTTTTTCCTACAAAATTTACTTTTTGCACTCGTTATTTTTCTGTTGGATGTGCGATGTACGATTCTCTCAAATTAAAGTGGTACTGCTTTCGGTTTGACAAATGTTTTAATGGTATCAGCGTGTTAAATATACAGAGTATAGAATAATACATAACGGCTACACATAATACCCTTGAATGTTGAAATCGACGCCCGTGCCATCCAACTGATGATGAATACGCTGGGCGAAGAACTCCCCGGATTGGCTGTGGAACTTCAGCGACAATGTATATCTCATTTGTGTCTGCGAATTGTCGTTCTTTAGTATCTATCGTTTTTTATATAAAAAAGACATGATCGTTGCAAATCACTGGTGAGGGCTTCGCGAGGGATATGAACACAAAGGTGTCAATAAGAATATGGGGTATTTTCAAAGACAACGATTGTAACGTAGCGAAATCGCTTAAACAAATCTTTGCACACAGTAGCCACATCTCCTGTGTCTTTCTTTCGCGTTGATACTACTACCTTGTCTGTCCTGTCACGTAAAGGACGGCAATTCGTAAATGACAATGGCAACGCTGTCGAAGACAAAACAATTCGGCGTAAATGGTACGCACAACTGTTGCATAATGTAGATTTCTTTGATATTGGCAGCGGAGGAGGACTCTCATTATTCTCGTTCGTTCGTCGTTCCCTTTGACCGCTACAGGGTCAGATGAGGGGGCGTGATGTAACAGATGCCTGAGAATTTCGATCCCGGATCCTCCGATTAAATCAGTTGGTTGCGTGGGCAGAATATGAAGAAATTGAATAAAAGCTTTGGTTAATTTGAACACTACTCACAACGAATCCAGCAAACCGCGTTCAAATGTGATTCTGCATGAGTAATTTCCTAGTCAAGAAAAGCACGATAGATGTTTAGAGGTTGAGTTAAAAAGACTAAAACTATTAGTAATAAAGTTCTTGTTTCGTAATGTACCTTTAGAGGCAAATAACACGGGTGGGTGTAGGGAAGGTGAAGAAGAATGAAGAAAATTTAAGATTTCGAAGTGCCACTGTGTTGACATTTACAGAATTGAAAGAACAGTAGCAGTGTGTGTATTTGAGAATACGATGAAGTTATTTTGCGTTTTTTTATTCTTGTTGAAAAATGAAGTAGTACTTTTGGTGGCATTTCTGTAGGATTATATATTATATCATCATGAAGGGAAATTGTGCTGTTTATGTGGCATTGCTTATTAGTTAAGGGAATTTTTAATTCTCTGTTGATTTGGTGCAAATTGATCTGTGAGAGAAATTATTTTGTATGTACAATGTTTTACTATTACATTTTCTATTATAACAGGAACGAAATCGGTAAGAAAAAAGTGTACACAATATGTTCATTGACGGAGCAATTACACAGAAAATTCACTTTTATTCTGTAATGAAATATCGAAGAAACTTATGCAAATTGATAATATTTTGGATAAATGTGAAAAAAGATGCATTATATTTATCCACAAGAAGTTAACGAACTACAACCTAGGCGTAGCAGTGACCATAAGCAATTTATGAACCTCATCCAGAAGATGTTTTCTAACTTGTTGGGGTGTAGTATCATAACCCGTATCGGTATATAGACGACCAAGTGCAGATACGTGACTATACTTAACAATTATAGAAAGGAGGGGGTAAGCGATGTAAGTTCCGATTATTAAGACTTTCAAGTTTTATCTTGATAGTGTTCTTTGTGTCTACACTGATGTAAAGCTATTCTACGCCGTTCTTAGCGTACTTTACGACGTCGCGTCGGTGGCCATGCTTTGGAAGGTACGCCGCCAGGCACGTAGTAATGCAAGTGACATTAGGGCTTAGTGTTAGAAAGACGCCTCTACAAATAGCCTGCCGAGGGCTTAGAAAGGCGTGAAGAAAACTTGAGAGGCGACCACGTGAAGGGCTAGGCGGTCAGAGGCGCCTGTGGTCGTCACGTGATCGCCGATATGTATGCCAGCCCAGCCACCAGCAAGGTCTAGTACACCCGAGTAAAGCCGCAAAACTGCTCGCCCAGGGAGACGAGAACGGGGGCTGCACTGGGCTCACAAGTTGTGGCGTGGTAAAGCGCCGGGGTGGAGTGTCTGCGAATCAGTATAGGGTGGCTGCGGGCATGGGAATTAGTTTAGGGGATGGGTACCAGGAGGCTGAGATACAAGGACCTCAGAGTTTGTACACGTTTGTAATATGTCTTGTACGTAAACTTGTATATATGAAAGGTCGTGTGTGGTAGTGGTCACTTTTTGTTGTAATAAGCATCTACAGATTCCAGATTAGAATTGTATTGATAGGCAGTTTGTCTCATTTGCCTGAAGAAACGGTAATTGGCAATTAGGTCTCGTACCCCCGCCGCTCTATAAAGAAAAGGTGAGTTATTTGAGACGATAATGTGGAGTACGTGGATCTTGTTTCTTAACAAGTTTTATGCCCTTGTTGCAAAAAGCACGTAAATGTATGTTGATTTTGGTTCTCTTTGATTAGAGAAATTATACACGCTGGTCGTATTAGGGACTGTTTGTTTGTTACTGCCAAAGTTTCGGTCGCATTTGTGGACCTTCCTCAAAGCTAAATGATACAAAACAACACTGCACATGAATACCAATAGTGGGGATTGTCATGAATAGCACATACTACATTATGTGGTATTCATATTGACCTTCCAATTGTATATTTTCAAATTTTCTTTCGTGACCCGCATTATCGAAAGAAGAAAAATTGTTGCCAGGTCTTTTGTGGTAATCCTCATATTTGCGAAATCGCGCCCTTCCTTCACCGCTGTTATTTCCCGGAGCCACGTCTGCATTTTATGTGCCCAAGTTCTAGCAGGCAGGGGGGGGGAGGCGTTGGCGGCCCGCGCGTGTGCCAAAAGAGCGGGATGATTTGATGGCATTTTTGCTGCCGCTTCCGTGCCGCGCCTGTGCCTCCACTCCGCGGCTGATAAGAGGTGGCGCAGCGCGGTGCTCGAGTCTTGCCGCAGTAAAACGCTCATTATGCCCTCATCAGCCGCCCCACGCCTATTCACGCCCCCGGCCATCCCCCCTCTCTCTTGCCCGGCCCATGCTCTCGCCCCCGCTCCTCGTG